ACTCAGTATTGTTCGAGCGCTAGGGGGGGGGGACCGGCACCCGTACCCAGCGTCAGCCGGGTGGGAAAATCAGGCGAGGCGGGAGGCTCTGCACGGTGCTAGGCCTCGACACCCACCACGCGAATCTAAGGTAAATTCATAAAAGTTTCACGTCCTCTACAGAGTCGTGAGGGAGGGAGAGTGGCGAGGAGGGAGAGTGGCGAGGGAGGGACTCAGCCTCAAAACGAGTACTGGTGTGGCGTTTTCACATCGGCACTGGGGAGACAAAGGCGGCCGGACGTGGTGGATCCAAGTCCCGGGCGAAGCCGGGTCATGTGTATGTGTGTATGTGTTTATGTGTATGTCTGTGTGTCTCTATGTATGTGTGTATGTATGTGTGTATGTGTTTGTGTGTTGTATGTGTGTGTATGTATGTCGGTTTTTTTTATGTGTTTGTGTGTATGTATGTGTGTTGTATGTATGTGTGTGTATGTGTTTCTGTGTATGTATGTGTGTGTATGTATGTGTGTTATGGTCTGTCTGTGTGTCTGCATGTATGTGTGTGGTATTGTGTATGTGTTTGTGTGTATGTATGTGTGTTTTGTGTGTATGTCTCTGTGTATGTATGGTGTGTATGTGTGTGTAGTGTTTGTGTGTATGTATGTGTATGTATGTGTGTGTATGTGTGTGTGTCTGTGTGTGTGTCTGTGTGTGTGCGTGTGTGGTGTGTGGGGAGCGTTAGTGGTGGTTCGTGCTCTCTGTGTGTCTGTGTGTGTGGTCTGTCTGTGTGTGTCTGCGTGTGTCTGTGTGTGTGTCTGTGTGTGTCTGTGCGTGTGTGGTGTGTGAGGAGCGGTGGGTGTAGTGGTTAACGCTACGCTGCGCTACCAACCCGGCGAACCGAGTTCCATTCCCGCTCACGGCAACCACCGGTGACGATTATTTGAACCTCCCCTAGGTCGACTCAGCCTCAAACGAGTAACTGGTGTGGCGTATTAACATCGCCACTGGGGAGACAAAGGCGGCCGGCCGTGGTGGATACAAGTCCCGGGCGAAGCCGGGTAGTACAGCTAGTAAACGACATAAACATGTACCACCAGAACCCTGCAGCCACAGCTGGCTGCTGCATGAGTCACTCCACAACAGCAGCATCAATCGGAGTATCAACATTTTTCAATGCACCTTTAAGATCAGCACACTAAATCAAAACACAGGTTATACTTTGCAGCGATCATCCGGAGCGAAACATTTTATTTTAGGCCACTGAATAGCACATTACACTGGTAATGTGTTATATATATACACACACACAGTGTTATATATATACACACACAGTGTTATACACACACACACAGTGTTATACACACACACACAGTGTTATACACATACACACACACAGTGTTATACACACACACACACCCAGTGGCGTACCAGGCACTCATGAGGCCGAGTAGACCTAGGGGAGGCCCATGACCGGTTCAGATAATCGTCACCGGTGTTGGCCATGAGCGGGAATCGAACCTAACACTTGCACACACACACACAACACTGGTAATGTGTTATACACACACACAGTGTTATACACACACACAGTGTTATACACACACACACAGTGTTATACACACACACAGTGTTATACACACACACACATACACACACACGTACCTTCGGGGCGAAGCGGCTAAGGAACGAAATCCTTTCGCGTGAAGACGAAAAGAAACCGCATCCGCAATGTGGCCCCATTCCTAATCAAATAGACGGCGATCGCAAACGAGTTTCCCCGTCGTCGGCACCATCTCACCTGGCAGGTAGACAGACAGGCACGCAGCCTGGCAGGCGGGCAGGCAGGTAGACAGGCAGGTGGGCAGGTAGACAGGCTGGCAGGCGGGCGGGCTGGCGGGCTGGCAGGTAGACAGGTGGCAGGCAGGCAGGTAGGTCGGTAGGTAGGCAGGTACACAGACAGGCAGGTAGACAGGTAGTCAGACAGGCAGGTAGGCAGGTAGACAGGCAGGCAGGTAGACAGGCAGGTAGACAGGCAGAGTAGACAGGCAGGTAGACAGGCAGGTAGACAGGCAGTACAGACAGGCAGGCATACAGGTAGACAGGCTGGCAGGTAGACAGGTAGACAGGCAGGCAGGTAGACAGGCAGGTATACAGGTAGGCAGGCTGGTATACAGGTAGGCAGGCTGGCTGGCAGCACAAGGTGAGGAATGAACTCCCCCCACCACTGCAGTGTCTGTGGCAAGCCCTTTTATCGAGTGGGTAGCCTTGTTGTTGTTGTATTTAGTCATGATGAGTCAGCAGGGCGTGCTGCTTGTGATGAGTCAGATCCCACGTGCTCCCGTGATGATCTAATCCCACACACGCGCGTCCCTCGCAAACAAGAGGCATCCTGCCCCGATCACTGTGACTTGGAGTTTGTTTGAATGTTTCGTTGGTGGAGGATGATTGTTACTGCAGCTCGCCTTGAATCCGTGTGCAGCAGTCACCTGAATGTCACTCGCGTTTGACATGTTCATGGCTAATGCCGGGCGAAAACAATAACATGTCCCGCCTAATGTGAGAATTATGCACGGCAGACGCTTTGAGCAAATCCCCTTGAGTTTCGATTTTATTTAATTGAATTTAAATTTTACAAAAAAGGAATAATTAAAATACAAATTCATGAATTTTAATTTTATTATCTAGGTAATACTTTTAGTATTTTAGTATTTCCCTTCTACGTGACTTTACCGAAAGAGCCAAGAATACAACCCCCCCCCCCCTGGTTTCTCGATATTCTGCGCTAATTGTGCACCCAGAGAGCTGCTCTGAATAGTATTTTGATGAGCAGTGAGAGAACACACGAGTTGACATCCTGCCACGAGACGCTGGCTCTATTAGAATGAATACATCCCGTTAAAAGCCGTGCCGGTTTTTAATCAGCGTTGATAGCAACTCGCAGTTTAGTACTCGTCAGCTTCATCACGAGATCAGATGGTTTTGATCGTTTGTGATCGTGCCTTTCTTCTCTTTCGCGTGAACATTCGACAACTCCTTGGAGGTGTTTTGGAACAATGCAGTGAGCGCTCTTAGCCTATTCTTATGTGTTTTTCGGTAAAGTCACCAGGTAGGGTAAAAATTTAAAATTAATAAAAGTAAAATAAAATAAAAATCACGACGTTTCGGAGGCACCACAAGCTACTGTCTTCAGGTGGGAACCGTCACAGCACGACAGCTGTATCAAGTGAGAGAAATTCCAAGAAAACAGTCCTTGTATATGTGTGGCGGTACGCGCTGACAAAGGGGCGGCGTGTGTGTGAGCGCGCCGTGTGTGGCTACATCAAGAGTGGTGGAGTTGACACGCGCCGAGAGTGATGGGATCACGGGGCGGCGCGGGGTGCGTGGTTGTGCGCGCTGACACAATGTGGGAAATAGGATCGTGGGCAGCGCGCAGTGATTGGTTCGACTGGGATGGGTGCTCTCAGCGACGTCCGCATGGAGGACTATAAAGGAGGACGCGCGGGAGCACTCGGGAGTTGATAACCAGTTGAAGATCGAAGACGGAGTTGAAGAGGTAGGGCCCTGAGACCCCTAGTCCCGCTGTCCTTGTAAGGGCCGGGACCCTGTGCGGCTCGGAGGCGAGACTGTGGGACCCGTGGTCTGACGTCCATGTGGGACGAGGCTGTGGGACCCAGAGTCGAGACGGACACCCCAGCCGGGTGGGGTTCCGAGAAGCTACAGGGCGTAAGAGCCCGTGTGGGTGTAGCCAGGGGAACCCCGTGGGTTAGGCTGCAGTTAGCCACCCGTGTAATATAAGCTGGTGTTAATAAAGAGTGTGCTATCCGTAAGGTCGTCTCCCGTCAAGTTACTACATTAATAATAATAATAGTACAATTTGTAACGCGCGCAAATTTGCAGACGTAGTGGCCGCAACTCAGAGGCGCGGAGCCAAGCTCAGAGTCGCTCAAAAGCATGATTGTAGAGGTGAGTTTTAAGTGTCTCTTGAAGGAGGCGATTGAGGTGATGCTGCGAATGTGCAGAGGGATATCGTTCCAGACTGTTGGGGCTGCCACCGAGAAGCGGCGCGTAGACATGACCATCCTGGATCTTGGTATTGAGAGGAGGTCGTGAGTCGCGCTGCGCAGGCATCTGCCGTGTGCTGAGCTGCAAGTTGTCAATAATGAAGAAAGATACGGCGGGCAGGCGGATATGAAGGCATTGTGGCAGAGGCAGGCGGTCTTGTATGTGACCCTACTGGCAATGGGGAGCCAGTTGAGAGCGCGGAGACGAGCTAGTGAGTCGAGGCGGGGATGAGTGTGGGCAATGACGACGCGTGCTAGGTTGTTTTGTAGTCTTTGAAGCTTCTTTAGGTTGCCAGCGGAGGTCCGGACAAGGACGGAGTTACAATAGTCAAGGCGAGACCCAACTATGCAACATGCCAAAGTGTTGGCAATTTCAGTAGAGATGAGAGGACGTATGTGTCTAAGAGCCTTCAGGTGAAAGTTACATGAGCTGATGATATGGTTGGTTTGACGGTCGAAGGATAAAGTTGAATCTAGGATGACACCGAGGTAGCTGAAGTGGTCGGTGAACTTGATGCTGTGACCGAAGATGTGTATGTGTGTGGGGAGTGCTGCTGAATTGAGACGTTGCTTGGTACCTAACATGATGGCCACTGACTTTTTCGGATTAAGGGCTAGGTTGTGTGCAGTGAACCATTGTTGCACGGCGGTGGTACATTCCGAGAGCCTCTCGAATCCAGATGCATTGCTAGATTCGATGGGGGTGAATAGAATCGTGTCATCCGCATATGAGTGGTGCTTAACACCGAAGCTTGCAATGAGTCGGCCGATCGGGGAAGTGTAGGCTGTGAAGAGCAGGGGACCTAGAACAGAGCCCTGGGGAACCCCGCATAATGCTCTTGTTTCAGGCGATGTGGACATGCCCACCCTGACTGAGGATTGCCGGTCAGAAAGGTACGAAGCTATCCACTTGAGTGCTGAGCCGCATATACCGAAGTCGGATTTCAGGAGGGAAGTAAGGAGCGAATGGTTGATGGTGTCGAAGGCTGACGAAATGTCCAGACTTACAAGTGCAACAGTTGAGCCGGAATCAACGATCGTTAAAATGTCATCGAGCACCCTAGTGAGTGCTGTTTCTGTGGAATAGTTTTGACGGTAAGCTGACTGGAAGTTGCAGTAGTTTGCGGCGGAGGTGACGTGTGGTTGTAGCTGGGCGAGGGCTAGTCGTTCAAGGAGTTTAGAGAGGTTCGAGAGGTTAGTGATGGGACGATAACTAGATGGGTCATCCGGATCTAAATTTGGTTTCTTTAACAAGGGAGAAACCAGGCCAGATTTGAGGTTGGACGGAAAACACCCCGAAGAGAAGGAGGCATTTGCGATGTTCCTGATCATGATGGCGAGTTCCGGAGCACATTGCTTGAACAAGGAACCTGGGAGCACGTCGAGTGGAGATGACTTCAAAGGAAGTGATTCAATTAAAGCGAAAACGTCTTTTGTAGACACAGGCTTTAGCATAGTTAGAAGAGTGTCTGGGATAGTGCTTACAATTTTAGGTACCATGAGCGGGGTACAATGGTGCAATGTGTCAGTAGACGTGCACGAGTTTGCGACGGCGATTAGCTTGTTGTTGAAGTAAGTATTAAAAGAGGTGGCAAGTTTCAGTGAGGCAAGGGGATCGCTAAGGTGAGGGACCATAGTGCTACCAGGATGGAGAAGATCTTTGAGAGTTTTCCATAGAATGCGCGGGTTTCCGGTTGCTTTTTTGATGCGTTCCTCAATGTGGGAGGAACGTGAGACAAGGATCAGTTTGTTAGTTTTCCTGCAGGCGACTCTGTAAGAAAGTCGATCAGCAGGTAGACCACTGCGGGATGCGATACGTTCAAGACGCCTCCTGGTTCGCTTAGCAATGATGGCATCTCTTGAGAGCCAGTGAGTGTCGTGAGAAGACTGCGTAGCGGTTCGTGATTTTAATGGAGCTAGTTTGTCCAGCGCCGCCCTCATGTCAGCTTCTAGTTGGAGAGCGCAGACGGTTGGATCCGATGATGGGGATAACATTGAAAGCGAGTTTGCAAGGAGGTGACGAAAAGCAGAAAATTCGATACCCTTAAAATTACGCAAGTTGCGGGTGAATTTGATGGTGATTGGCTTCGGAAATTGGAGGGAAGAAAGTATAAGGCGGTGGTCGGAGTAACCAGTTTGGAAAACTCCCAGTGCAGTGATGCGTCGGTGCTGGTTAGGTTCCAGAACCAGGTCGAGCATGCTCTCAACGTTTGTTGACGAAGCTCTGGTGGGGCCTGAGTTTGTGATGACCAGGTTATGGCAGGCCAAAGTTGACTCAAGGTGACTATCGATGGAGGCTGGGGTATTGCCGGGGCAATTGAAGTCGCCTGTAAGCACGAGCCTGTGAGATGGGTTAGGAATCAGATATAGGAATTCCGAAAGCTCATTTACGAAGGTGTTGATGCTGCCATCTGGAGGGCGATAGATAGAAATAATGTAAAAGCACTCGTTGTTAGTAGTAAGGGATACGGACTGGACCTCGAATGTGGCCTGAGCCATTGGTAGATGGAGCTCTTTAATTTTCAAGTGAGCATTGTAAACGACCGCTAAGCCACCACCCCGCTGGTTAGTTGCGCGAGGTTTATGTAGAACCTTGTATCCTGGGGGCGCAACTTCCAGAGAGATAGCTGGCGGGGAGTCTTGCCTGCACCAGGTCTCAGTGATGAGCAAAAGGTCGATGTGGTGGTCCGAGATGGTATCGTGAATCAGGGCTGATTTATTGGTGATGGAGCGTGCGTTGAGCAGACCGAGGCGGATATGTGAAGGTAGATGTGAAGATCCGTGCAGGTGAGGCGTCGAGGGAACAGAGGAGTTGGCTGGTTCGAGGTCGACCTGTGAACGGCGGCCCCTGCCACCTCTGCAACCACGGTGCCGATGCAGTCTCCGACGTTGGCCTCGGAGAGGCCCAAGGACAGAGAGCGTCCTCAGGAGTGCGGGTTGCAGGTGCAGATGATGAAGAGACGGTGCATGTCGTAGCCCTATTATATCAGCCCGTGCTGCAACGATGGTGCGGATGAAGGGGCCCGGATTCGGATGGACTCCAATCAGCGGCTCAGCTGCCCTGAGCAGCAAGTCGAGGTGTCGTTGTCCAAGCTCCACGCTATCAGCAAGCACTTCCCCATACGTAGCGGATGCAAACACGCCCGTGTAAACACTCGCTGAGCGCGTACACGGGCGTACAGAACCACGCAGGCGGGGCGTACAATGAAGCAGCCAGAAGTACACGAAGTCCAGTGGATTAGCTGACCACGCTCTGTGCTCCAGCTCGCAGGTGGTGCAGCAGGATGGACATACCTCGCAGAGCTCCCGTTCACTGGTGGTGCTGGGCAGCAGGCAAGCCAACTCTCTCGTGTTGAGGAGATGACAGTCTGCTTCGCGTTCCCACTCGCTGATGGTGGTGAACGTTGGACGGAGCACGTAGATCTCCCACTTGCTGGCGATGCTGGGGCACGCCAAGCTCACAGTCGCTGATGGTACCGGAAGAGGTGCCTTGTGAGGACGTTGCTGGTAGAAACCGTGCCCGGGGCGGATGTTAAGCCGCGCCGCATGAACAATACAGCCAGCGTCCTCCAGCTTCGTGAATCGAAGCAACAGGCCTCGTTTACTCGCACTGCCCAACAGCTGTGCGATGCGGCAGTTAAGGCGAGTTGTGTGGCACTGCAGTAAACGGCATTTGTCGGCTGTTGTAGCGCCGCGAGGCGTGTGCAGTGAACACGGAGGCGGGCGGGTTTGGGTGCAGGGATCGGCCGCCACCCAAAACTCGGGCGACGCCAAAGTAATAATGAAAATAATGAAACAAAATAAATTATATGAAAAATGTAATGGAAGATGAAAGTAAGAAGAGTGGTGGTGAGTGGAGAAGGACGTGGGTAAGGTACGAGGTGTGGTTACGGTTGATAAACTGTGAGAGCGATCCGGGACTGCAGCCAGCTGCGGCGCTGTCGGCATCTTCCCATCCGGGTGTGTCGTCACTTTTGCCGGGGGAGCAGTGGCCGCTGGGAGTGACATCACTTCTGGGCTCAGCGCTGTCCAACCGAACAACGCCGCGTCATCAGCGCTGCGTCCCTCACCGCCGGGTGACAGCTGTTTGCAACCTAGCATACCGCGTCATCAGCGCTGCGACCGGACAGTGAGGACGCCAAACTTACTGTAACCGACGCCAGGGCTGGCACATTGACCGACACGCTGGTCACCGCCTTTGCTGCTCTGGCCAAAGGTTGGAGGTCGGGAGACCAGGCCCCTGACATTTCGTACATTTACGCGCTCCGGCTTAATGCTTTTTTTGTTGACATTCTCTTCGTTGTCGTCGGGGAGTCGTGATTGTTGTTGGGTAAACTGTGTGGAGCTTCGCTCGTGAGTGTTGTCAATGTGTGCGAAACTTTGCTTGTGATTGTTAACAATGTATAGTTTGTATTGAGCTTTGTTCGTGATTGTTAATGTATAGCTTGTGCTGTCATTGTTAACGATGTATAGACTGTATGGGGCATTTATCTTGAGATGGTGACATGCTGCCAAGGATGGGAATTGTCATGCTGGCTTACAAATATCTTGGGGTGCAGATCCTGACCAGAATGGCCCAGCGGGTGTTGCGTATCTAACACGAGAGTTGTGGTCCCGTCATGCTATGGCTAACGGCTTGACCTGACAGCCCGGAGATAGAGACACTCCGTGGCATGTCTAGCCTAGTGGGCTGTGTGCTCACATGGCTCGGAGAGTGTGGTCCCGTCATGCTATGGCTGACGGCTTGACCTGACAGCCCGGAGATTGAAACACTCCGTGGCATGTCTAGCCTAGTGGGCTGTGCGCTCACATGGCTCGGAGAGTGTGGTCCCGTCATGGAGTAGCTGACGGCTTGACCTGACGGCCCGGAGGTTGAGACCCTCCGTGGTGCATCTGGAGCAGTAGGCTCACCCTGACGGCCCGGAGGTTGAAACACTCCGAGGCGCGTTGAAACAGTGGGCTGGAGATTCGTGGTATTCAGGTGTAGTTGTCCCGTTACGTTGGGACTGTATCCCTCAGTTGTTAGGGTGCATGTTGTGCAGGGAGTGAACAATGGGTCGTCTCAGATCGGTCGGTACAGCTATATGCTGCGATGCGAGTCTTGGAGAGAGATTGGGTTTCAGCTCGGTCGGTACAGCTATATGCTGCGATGCGAGTCTTGGAGAGAGATTTCGATTTAAAGCTTTCGTGACTGCAGGGATTCATCTTCTTGGTTCTTTCGGTAAAGTCACGTAGAAGGGAAGTAATAAAATAATAAAAATAAAACATAATAAAACAATTCTCACGACGTTTCGGCCACAACGCAAGCAGCCGTCCTCAGGTGAAAACCAGGTCCGTCGAGGCGACAGAGTCTGAATGAAACAGCACACGAGCTTGGAGCATATATATAAGCTGGGCGCATTGACAAAGGAATTTGCATATCAAAAGGAATTTAGCATATTTATGGGAAATGCAGGAATGTGATTAGTACTGCATATGCATGTGCATTATGCAGGATTAACAGCATCAAAGGGAGCTGCAGTTACTGCTGCTGCAGCAGTTGCTGCTGCTGCTGCAGTTTCTGCTGCTGCTGCTGCAGTTGCTGCTGCTACTGCAGTTGCTGCTGCTGCTGCTGCTGCACTTGCTGCTGCTGCTGCACTTGCTGCTGCTGCTGCACTTGCTGCTGCTGCTGCAGTAGCTGCCTTATCCATTTTAATATAACACTATGTATTATTCTACCCACCCTAATGTGTATCATACTGCTATATGTTTACTGTACAATTACGACACCATACATTACTCTGCACACTGCACCATGCCAGTGAGTGGAACACGGTCTGAAAGTCACCGTAAACGTGAACACAATCAGTTAAGATCCGAAATGGTTTATTACGTCCTTCCAATGATTGCTAAGACAGAATCCATCTTCTCGGTTGAAATTGTCTCTGTGTTTGTATATGTGGATCGCCTCATGAACGAATCTCTCATGATAGCCAGATGGCTTGCAGAGAACCTCTGTCTTGGAGAAGTCAATGTCATGTGAGCCCACTGAATTGTAACAGTGATCTGCCACGGCTGAGGTGTTTGTCCTACCGTGTTTCAGGTCTGCCTTATGTTCACGGATGCGGTCCGAGACATGTCGTTTGGTTTCTCCAATGTAACTGCTACCACAGAGGAAACTTAGTTTGTAGACGCCAGGGTACTGTATGTCTGGAACCACATCTTTTACAGACGGGACCAGATCACGGATTTTATGTACTGTGTTGAATCGGACCTGGATCTTGTGTTTAATCAGGATTTTGGAGATCTTTTTTGTGACCCCAGCAATGTAGGGTAAGGTGATGGTCTTGAAAGGCTCCTCAACAGGATCCTTCTTGATGGTTGGAGTGATGGCTTTGCGGATTGTGTAGTCGGAGTAACCATTAGCCTTAAGAGCTTGGCGTACGTGTTTGAGTTCACTGGAAATGTGTTCATGGTCGGAGATGCATTGGGCTCTATGATATAGAGTCTTGATGAGGGAATTCTTCTGGGATGGATGGTGGTGGGAATCCGGTTTTAGATAAGCATCCGTGTGGGTGGCTTTCCTGTAGACAGAGTGGCTCATTGAACCATCAGGTCTCCTTTTGATTAGGACATCCAAAAAGGGTAGCTTGCCATCATTTTCGACTTCCATGGTGAATCTGATGGCTGGGTGTATGGAATTGATGTGGTCGAGAAATTGGTCTAGAGCAGGCCGGCCATGTGGCCAGATGACAAAAGTGTCGTCTACGTACCTCTTCCATAAGGTCGGGCGTAGAGTGGCAGTCTGGATGGCGTCCGTCTCAAATTTCTCCATGAAGATGTTGGCTACAACCGGAGATAGGGGGGAGCCCATTGGGGTGCCCTCAATTTGCTTGTAGAAGGTTCCATTCCAGGTGAAGTATGTATTGGTTAAGCAGTGTCTCACCAGGGGGGGTACCCCAGCATTCAGTCTTGGAGAGAGATTGGGTCTCAGATCGGTCGGTACAGCTATATGCTGCGATGCGAGTCTTGGAGAGGGATTGGGTCTCAGCTCGGTCATTACAGCTATATGCTGCGATGCGAGTCTTGGAGAGAGGTTGGGTCTCAGATTGGTCGGTACAGCTATATGCTGCGATGCGAGTCTTGGAGAGAGATTGGGTCTCAGATCGGTCGGTACAGCTATATGCTGCGATGCGAGTCTTGGAGAGAGACTGGGTTTAAGCCCCCCGATATGGCCGACGTGCGCGGTTTTAGGATGGAGACGCCACGTTGGAAAGGCGGGGGTGCTAACGGTTGACATGTAATGTCGGTTGTGGTCCTCATTGAGGGCTGCTGGGACGCAAGCACGGGATGCTCTTTGGAGATGCGGTTCGTGCGTGCGGCCACCATTTATGGACAGGAGCAGGCAGATTTATTTTGGTTGTGTCATGTAAATTGTATATATATGTTTAAAAATGTAGATACTGGAGCAGCCCTGAAGTGCGACTTCTTTGCCCAGTACATGGGTCGGCCCTGAAGTACGACTTCTCGACCCGGGACGTAGACAGACGTCCGGATAAGTGTGTGTAGAGGGATGCTCGACATGTTGGTCTTCGCCTTCTCTCCACCTGACGGATGGGAGGTTGGCAGGGTGGTGTGGAACCCTGCCATCCATGCGGTGGTTGTGCATCCAACGCGTCGGAATCTGTATATTTGTTGTTGTTAATTCCCCGTTTTTTATGCGGATCCCGAGGAGGGCTAGGTGTGCCGCGGGTCGTTTGTTCACGTGTCATTGCTTCACCTTTTTGTTGATTGATGCTTGTATATAGTGTAGAGTTGTACAGGTGATTGCCAATTTACTCGCCATTGCATTTTGTCTGCGTTTCAGTTGCAAATGCATCCGTCGGAGTCTGGAGGAGAACAATAGCTGCCCAAAGTGCAGTTCCGCCATTAAGAATTCAAAGCAGATATATCCAAACTTCCTCTGTGAGTTGTTTTTTACTTATTTTCCATCCACCTGCATTTTTCGCAAATTTTGTTTCACGGCAATGCAACACAGGCCTTCAACGATTGATGCTCTGCAAACCTCCTGGCTACCATCAAAGGTTTGTTCAAGTTCAAGTTTCATGTATTAGGTGTAGCCCTGTGAGCCATTCGGCTCTTGAATCGGGTGCAACTGCAACAAACAAAAAACAAAAACATGAACAAGAAAACATCTTAAAGTGAATATGTGACTGAGTACAAACAGAAAATCCAAGAAAAGACAGCAAAATATTGCAGAAAAAACACCGTACACCAACGCTGTGTGCAAAAATCCCAGTGGGATGCAAGTCAAACAACAACAACAACAACCACAAGACAGCTTAGATTAAGGCCATCAGTCTAACTCTGTACTACAACAACACAAACATGGCTAAACCAATACACTTTTCGAAATCACCAAAATAAAGCCATGAAAGCAATGAAAAAGCAATCATAGGAACTGTGACGGAATTTTACACGAAGCCATCCATATATACAAACACAGACGTAACTTCAACTAATAAAAGTAAAATAAAAATAAAATAAAAATCTTTTATTTTTATTTAACTTTTATTAATTTTATTTTTTTACCTACGTGACTTTACCGAAAAAAACCTAAGAATATGAATCCTTGCAGTCACGAAAGCTTCAAATCTAGAATAACTTCAACTGTGATGATGGGTACAAACTGAGTAATAATGGGAAAGATGTTATTAACCATGCAAAAAAGATTTAACGACACATATTTGGACCATCTTATTTAACAGGTACTATTCTACTTTACCGAGCGTTGACATCCCCAGCGTTTAACAGTACTCTCCTTTTTAAATCCTTTATATTAAGTTCGCTTGCTTGCTTGCTTGCTTGCGCGCTTACGACCGTGCAAATCTTTCGGTCGTTTTTTATTTAAATCCTTTATATTAAGTTTGCTTGCTTGCGCGCTTACGACCGTGCAAATCTTTCGGTCGTTTTTTAACCCACTTCCCGTGATCCAATCGAGCTGACATTTTGCACACAGACTCGTTGTGCGTGACAATTTTTTTTAGTGAAAATTTTTTTCCATAACTTTACACTTTTTAGGAAAAAATTAATTATATTTAATTACCAATTGCTTAATGGTGGCAGGCAATCATCTGACCCATAGGTGGCAGCCATCTCAAGCCAGAGGACGAGAGGACTCTAGCCGCCACGCATATAAAGGATTTATAGTGAAAAACTTTGTTTTTACGGGTTAATTTTTTACCTACCTGACTTTACCTAAATAACCTAAGAGTATGATGCTCGCGTTGTTTAATATTTAACAGCTTTTTCCCCCACACGCGTCTTTTCGCAGTGAACGAGCTGGTCCTGAAGCAGCGTCAGCGGCTAGAGAATCGAATCGAGATGGAACAACCGGTGATTGGAGATGTGCAGGGAAAAACATCACTGGCACATTTTATAGTAATAGGTTTTTACCCTTTCAACTGGTACAAAAACTGTCACCTTTGTACCAGTTGAAAGGGTAAAAACCTATTACTAGATTTTGCCACTGGTAAAGGAGATGTCTCATAGTGTAAATGCTTACCCCGAGCTCTCAATACTCTGATAGTGCATTGTCTTTGAGTTGTACGCCTTTTGGCGTCATCTGGTCCAACACCAATGGAGACTGGGCTCTAAGAAAAGCTGTCTCGGGTGTGGACCAATCAACTTCAAGGACAGTGCATATCATCATCAGAGTTGTGTCTTTCTGTTTGCATTTTGACTGCTTGTGTTGTGGTTATTGCACACATGATGCCTTGTATAAAGGTGTCAGTTTTTGTACCAGTTGAAAGGGTAAAAACCTATCACTATATTTTGCCACTGCTAAAGGAGATGTGGCCAGATCGCTACTGAGAAAGAGGTATGTAGCTCAGTGGACCTTAGCTGGCCAAACTAAAATGTAACATTTTTGTTAAATAGTCCTCTACATGGCCCACGGTTGGAGGTTACTGGCCGAAGACGCGCCGTGCGCTACGGTCTGTCGGTGTCACGTGGACAACGCAATGAACTTTGCTGAAAGTTCAAGTTCATTGATTAGGTGTAGCCCTGTGAGCCATTCGGCTCTTGAATCGGGTGCAACCGCAACAAACAACAAAAACATGAACAAGAAAACATCTTAAAGTGACTTTGTGACTAAGTGCAAACAGAAAATCCAAGAAAAGACGGCAAAATATTGTAGAAAAAACACCGTACACCGATCCCAGTGGGATGCAAGTCAAACAACAACAATAACCACCACCAGACAACTTAGATTAAGGCCATCAGTCTTTCTCTGTACTACAACAACACAAACATGGCCAAACCAGTAAACTTTTCGAAATCACCAAAATAAAGCAATGAAACAGTGATCACATAGGAACTGTGATGGAATTTTCACAATAAACGACAAACAACATGTACCACCAGAACCCTGCTGAGACGACTCCCGGCAAGTGCTTTTCGCACTTCACGGAGGTGACCGGCCACGTCTCTTGATCACCGTGTCACGTGACCCTTCCACCCTGCCGCCCCCCCCCCCCCCTCTTCCTCACAGAGCGTCCATCACCGGCAGACTATCCAGGAGTTGCTGGCGCTGGACCGAGATGGCTTGGAGCTGGCCGACGTGAACCGCATTCTGGAGCTGCTCGCTCAGAAGAAGATGCAGCTGGAAGCGGTGAGTTGGCGTTGTTTGTGACGGCGGCTTCAGGAGCAGTGCGGTGACGCAGAGCTCGCTTGTCGAGAGGGCTTTCCCCCTTTTCTCTGGCAACAAAACTGATGAACACCATATGAGACTGGGCTCTAAAGAAAGCTGTCTCTGGTGTGGACCAATCAGTTTCAAGGACAACACATAAATGATCAGAGTATTGTTTTTTTTTGCATTTGACTGCAAGTATTGTGGTTAATGTAAACATGATTCAATCTTAATTTTGGAGCTTTCGTGACTGCAGGAATTATTCTTTGGTTCTTTCGGTTAAGTCACGTCTAAAGATAAAATAGCCAATTAAATAATAGCATATTACGACGTTTCGATTGCAACACAAGCAATCGTCATCAGGCATAAAAGAAATAGCAACAAAAATCTAACTAGAAAACTATAGACAGACACACAAGCAGACAGACATCTCTCTCTGTGTGTCTTTGTGGTATTTCTTGTGATCTCTCATTTACTTGATACAGCTGTTGTGGCTGTGACGGTTCCACCTGAAGACGGAGGCTTGTGTTGCTTCCGAAACGTCGTGATTTTTTATTTTATTTTGCTTTATTTTACTTTTATTAATTTAAATTTTTTACCTACGTGACTTTACCGAAAAAACCTAAAAATATAGTATTCATCCAAGCTACCAAGATCTGGACCAGTTTTTACCTCCCGGGTCTTAGTCATCAGTCAGGCTCGTTCAATGAACCCCGCTGGGCTAAGCGCTGACGTTAGGTGTTTGCGATCAGCACGGCACTCCCGCAAGCCTGCAGGCCTAACTGGGGGATCTCTGTTTGTGTGTCCGTGCGATCTGCAAGACTCCACCTTTGCTCGCACCGGTGACAGTGGCCAAGTCGCCTTCCAAGGGCGGCATCCCCAAGCCCCTTGCCACGGGGGAGGTCGTGAAGAAAAAGCGAAAAGTTTTGCATCTGTCGGACTCCGAGGGCTCGGACAGCATGGATTTCATGGTGAGTAATGCGACTGCTTTGATTGAAATTCTTTGGACGATGCAATGGGACTCGATCCACTCTCGTAGGGACAAAGTGGCTCGCTTGAGCGCTAGGGATGATTGGGTCATGTGTGGATGTTCACGCTGGATAGAAGCATTCTCCTAATGTGCGGTGCGCTGTCAAACTCAGAGCTCGACCAACTGGAGGGAGAGTTTTTCCCAGATAATTAAATAATTGCTGTAATCTAACAAACTATGTCATTGTAATCTAAGCAATTCATTTGACAATAACATTAAACAAAAAATTTACAATTTAAAAACTAAAATCACTTCTGCAGTTCAATGCGAGTCTCCATCACCATCAATCAGATTCAAAGGGTCACTGGATGTGGGAAGGTAGAATAGACGTCTTGACGAGCTTGGAGCATTTGTTCAATGAACGTAGGATGGATGTGCCAGAGACGGAGAGTGCTCACAAAGCATGCCCGTGACCAAGGGACGGGTTTCTGAATTCCCAAAATTAAAAAAAATGCAAATGTAGATTTGCTCGTACAATGCACTCGTATTCCGGCAAGGCCGAATAAATGTTTTAAATTGCAGGATCTTTGCATGATTTTGTGTTCATTGATATTCACGTTTATACGTTAGGTCGACGAAGAGCTGCTCGCAAGTGTGTCGGGCGTGATGCCGTCCAAGCGAACTGAACAGGCCAGGGCAGCAGGCAAGATGAGATCTGCCGTCGTTGTCACGAGTGTCAAGACGGTGAGTGCACCAGACTCGCAGTCCCGTTTGATCTCCCGGCGCGGCAGGTTAAACAATGCTGATGATGATGATGTCACGCACTTTTTTCTCTTACTCCAAAATATCATTGTTGCTCTTCAACAATCTTTCACGTGGTGAGCCGCTTCGTAGAGCTGCTCGCGCTTGTGGCCGGGACGCTTCTGTAAGAGAAGCTGATGGTTTAGTGGGCCTTACATTATCAGAGTTGTGTTTTTTGTTTGCATTATGACTGCAGGTATTGTGGTTTATGCAAACATGACTCCTTATAAATGAGGTTCCAATGGTGTAAATGCTTTACCCCGAGCTCTCATACTCTGATGGTGCATTGTCTTTGAGTTGTGCGCCTTTTGGCGTCATCTGGTCCAACACCATGTGAGACTAGGCTCTAAGGAAAGCTGTCTCAGGTGTGGACCAATCAACTTCAAAGACAGTGCATGCATTATCAGAGTTGTGTTTTTTGTTTGCATTCCGACTGCAGGTATTGTGGTCTATGCAAACATGGCTCCTCGTAAAAAAGGTGTCAGTTTTGTTGCCAGATAAAAGGGTAAAAAAAACAATTAAGAAAAAAATGGTTTAGGTTTTTTTTTATTAAAAAAAAAAACGTTTTACCTTCCCTACACTTTGCGCTCCTATTGTGTTTTTGTATTGTTTGTTGTTGTGAAATGTGAACGACCTCACCTGGCATACAGGAGGTCTCCCCGTGGTCGCGTGGATTTTTCTCCAGGTTCTCCGATTTTCCCCTCCACGTTGACAAACACGCTCTCAGAGTGTTTGGCTGCTATACATGTCCACGTGATAGGCCACTTGGTTGAGCTGTCATTTGTGGCCAGTACACTTCTGAACAAGAGCTATACAGCTCAGTGGGCCTCACCTGGTCAAATAAAAATACAAAGTTAATAGTACTGGACATCTGTGAAAAACAGCTTCATATCTCATCGCATTCCTCCAGTATCAATACATCTTCTCATTCTCTATAAATGGGCGCACCGTTTCATTGCTCGCCTGCTTGTGTGTGCTGGGGTCAAGTTGCGGGTGTATTCCCACCATCCTCCAAGACGCCGTGTACAGCGGTCACCCTCTGTAGAACTCCCACCAGAGCTCCTTCTGCCTGCAGTGACGTGACTTCTTCTCTTTCCCACGTGTCTCGCTGCATTTCTTCTGGCGGTTGCTCTCATTCCCAGTCCACGTGTAGCGGCATCAATGCAGTCACCTGATTGGTCACCCCACCCGTTCAAGCCGACTGTTTTGACCAATCTGCAATGGGCCCATTGATGAACGTAGATCTCGGACATGACGCGGGTTGAGTCGGTGGGAGACTGCCGGGGACTGCCAGGCTTGGCCTACGAGGTGGTCAGGAGATGGCAGTGTAGCCATGGATTCTTGACTCTATCAGTGTGGAGCTTTTGAGTGCTCCCCCCCCCCCCCTCTTATGTAAATGCTGTTTAATGTTTACAATAATATTGTGTTCGTGTCAGATGTTTTGAGCCCTCGTTTTCACGTTCACATTCTTGTTTTTGTGGCATTGAGACTTCATCGGCCACAATCATTCCACTTCCGGACGAAGACCTCCCCGCGCAATCGCCATCTCTCACGATCCACCGCAGGAGCCGTACACCTCGTCACGAGAGACGAACACCAAGCCATGCTCACTTGAGCAGGAGGACCACTTTAGACTCTTGACGATGCCCAATTGTCTTCGATGTGTTCATTTGTTACAGGCGATTGAGATCTCAAGAAAAAACACGTTGACAGCAAAGATCAAACAAGGGAAGATGGTCTCTGCATCACCTTCCATCAAGCTTCCTGCAAAACGGCGACACTCACCCTTTGACTGGTTTGAGGGTCCAGATGTCGACACCACTTCTGAATCGGAGGATTAAAAGAGAATCGGAGTTTGTTTTGAGCGACGTTGTTCTACGTTCCATTGTTCTTGGCGAAATGGTAGCCAGGGTGGAGACTTTTAGCCAAAACAGTTAAAATGTTTTGGGTGTTCAGTTTTAAGTCGCTGCTTTTCATAAATTTTCAGAGAGGAGGTGGGGGGGTGGACACTTTCGCCGTTAACACTGGTTGGTCAACAACAACAACACAACATGTTTTTCTGGCCTGGACTTTTGCAGCTGTTCTAGACTAATTTCAGGGTGCCGATTCCAAATCTGATCTCAGATTTGCTCAATCACATCTCATTTTTAAATCCTTTATATTAAGTTCGCTTGCTTGCTTAGGACCGTGCAAATCTTTCGGTCGTTTTTTAACCCACTTCCCGTGATCCAATCGAGCTGACATTTTGCACACAGACTCGTTGTGCGTGACAATGCATTTTCCTGAAAAAAAAATTCCTAAATTTTACACAGTTTAGAGAAATTTAAATATTTAATTACCAATTGTTTAATGGTGGCAGACACTCATCTGACCCATAGGTGGCAGCCATCTCAAGCCAGAGGACGAGAGGACTCTAGCCGCCCCGATGCCACGCATATAAAGGATTTATAGTGAAAAACTTTGTTTTTACGGGTTAATTTTTTATGCTATCGGCATACCCCATTTTCATCGATTTTACCCGAAATTAACTCTGTCACTTCTGATTGCAAGTTGTTGCGAGTCAGTGACTGCTTTAGTGTTAAAATATGGTGCTGTATTTTTAGGATAGTGTGCTTATAATATCATTTTATGTAGATATCCACATTTATTTAATATTTTTCTTCTGCAGTTTTTATTGAAAATGCAATATTTGATATCTCAAAAACATTTTGATTGCATTTTGATTGTAAAGTGAACGTTCATTGTTTCTGTTCATTGCGTGTACGCTCAAAATTAAAGCGCTTAAAATCGCAAGCTATTCCGTGCCTTTTTTTGTATTCAACGTAAGGAAATACACTCGGAAAGGTTGTGAATTTGCGAAACCCGTCGCGGGTACCAACTCAGCCCCTTCACCCATTGTGAACATCATCGCCACTGTCAGAGGTCAATCGTGGTTCCGTCCTAATAGCTTCAGAAAGCCGAAGAGTCTTCGCCAACGTTGTCAACGCGCGCCTGCAATCTTCTCAGGTGCAGGTCTCCACGTTTTCCTGTGGTGTTGTTGCAAAGTCTCAGAAGTGTTAACATTTCGATGTAAAGCTTCATTCGTGACTGCAGGGATTAATCTTCTTGGTTCTTTCGGTAAAGTCACGTAGAAGGGAAGTAATAAAATAACAGCCCATTCAGACGCTGTCTTCCTGACAGACCTGTTCTTCACCTGAGGACGGCTGCTTGCGTTGTGGCCGAAACGTCGTGAGAATTGTATTTAATGTTTTATTATTTCCCTTCTACGTGACTGCCGAAAGAACCAAGTGTTCACATGTTTTTGAAGCACCCCCCCCCCCCCTGTATTCACAACAGCATAAGAGAGACGGGGGAGGATGACTGTGCGTGTACATGCACGCTAATGAGTGGCAAACTTTCACGCGACTGGCAACAAACCAGGACTTGCCAAGTCACGTTTCTGCGAAGACTTGGAGATATCCCACGGGAGCTGACCTCCATAAGAGGATGATCTTGGTGGCAAACTCGCGTCGTAAAGAATTACAAATGATAACCGTGGCAATCTAGTGATATCAATTTAATGAAATGAAATGCATCAATGCAGGGATATTACATCAAAGCAAGGACGGGTGGCAACCTCGCGTCTTAAAACAAAAATACTGTAAAAATCACACTCGTTTTGAAAATATAGTGGCGTCACTTAAATGAAACTCGATATGACGTCAGCGCGGGGGAGTCGTGACATCGGTTCACGGTGACCTTTGCGTCTTTGTTCGTTTTGCTCACTAGACGGGATTCGAAGCCGTGTCCTTCACGTGTCAAGGGTGACCCACCCTTCCTGTCCTGTCCCCTCGGCAATGCCGCCTCCACAGGGACAACCAACCCCTCTATCCCTAATGAACATCTGTTGCATCACCCAATTCCCTGACCCCCACCCCTGCCCCCAGATTGTGCCCGATGTAGTACAGGGACTACCTCTACTTACAAACATTCGACTTGGGAACTTTCAGAGATACGTACAAACCTGTCCGTATGTCCCGTTACCGCAGTTCAACGATGCGATTGCCCATCACAAGTTGATTTGTGCAGAGATGAAGAGAACAACTGTGCAGACATCTCTTAGTAGGTATTTCAAGAGAATAGAGAGGAAACACGTGCCAAAGGGAATTAGCATCTACATCTGCAGAACGTGAAGAATCAGTGGCATCTACATCTGCAGAACGTGAAGAACCAGTGGCATCTACATCTACAAAACGTGAAGAACCAGTGGCATCTACATCTGTAGAACGTGAAGAACCAGTGGCATTTACATCTGCAGAACGTGAAGAACCAGTGGCATCTACATCTGCAGAACGTGAAGAACCAGTGGCTTCTACATCTGCAGAACGTGAAGAACCAGTGGCATCTACATCTGCAGAACGTGAAGAACCAGTGGCTTCTACATCTGCAGAACGTGAAGAACCAGTGGCATCTACATCTGCAGAACGTGAAGAACCAGTGGCTTCTACATCTGCAGAACGTGAAGAACCAGTGGCATCTACATCTGCAGAACGTGAAGAACCAGTGGCTTCTACATCTGCAGAACGTGAAGAACCAGTGGCATCTACATCTGCAGAACGTGAAGAACCAGTGGCATCTACATCTGCAGAACGTGAAGAACCAGTGGCTTCTACATCTGCAGAACGTGAAGAACCAGTGGCATCTACATCTGCAGAACGTGAAGAACCAGTGGCATCTACATCTGCAGAACGTGAAGAACCAGTGGCATTTACATCTGCAGAACGTGAAGAACCAGTTGCATCTACATCTGTAGAACGTGAAGAACCAGTGGCATTTACATCTGCAGAACGTGAAGAACCAGTGGCATCTACATCTGCAGAACGTGAAGAACCAGTGGCATCTACATCTACAGAATGTGAAGAACCAGTGGCATCTACAGCTCTCTCCCTCCCTGCCCTTTTGTCTCTCCCCCTTTCTGCCCCCCCGTCTCTCTCCCTCCCTGCCCCCCTCTCCCTCCCTGCCCCCCTCTCTCTCCCCCTCTCTGCCCCCCTCTCTGCCCCCCCGTCTCTCCCCCTCTCTGCCCCCCCGTCTCTCTCCCTCCCTGCCCCCCTCTCCCTCTCTGCCCCCCCATCTCTCCCCCTCTCTGCCCCCCCATCTCTCCCCCTCTCTGCCCCCCCGTCTCTCTCCCTCCCTGTCCCCCTCTCTCTCCCCCTCTCTGCCCCCCCGTCTCTCTCCCTCCCTGCCCCCCTCTCCCTCTCTGCCCCCCCATCTCTCCCCCTCTCTGTCCCCCCATCTCTCTCTCTCTCTGCCCCCCCATCTCCCTCCCTCCCTGGGCCCCCGTCTCTCTCCCTCCCTGCCTCCCCGTCTCTCTCCCTCCTTCCCAACTGAATCCCCCTAACCTCTCGCTTATAAATCGACGAAAGTTCGGCGCCCTCTGATGTCTCTCTCTCTCTTCCTGTCTTCCCCTCGCCTCCCCTTCTCTTTGCCGATCTCTCGCGACGTCTCTGCCCCTCCCCTCATCTCGCCCCGTCTCTCTCGCTCCGTCCGAACCGGACCCCCCTAGCCTCTGCCTCAAGAACCGTTGAATGAAATTCCTCTGATGGTTGTCTCTCTCTCTCTCTTGCTGTACTCCCCTCGCCGCCTCGTCTCTGCGTCTCTCGCTCGCCGCGTCTCTGGCTCTCGACTCTTGCTGCGCCGTCTCTCTCTCCCCTCTTCCCCTCCCGCTCCCCGACTCCGCCCCGGTTCCGTGCCCCTCAGGCCGAGCTCCTGCCCCTCGCTGACCTTCATCTGCCCCCCCCCCCTTCGCTGCCCTCCCTCACGAGACCTCCCACGCACAATTCCTTGGTCCCATCCCTCTCTCGCCTCGCTCCCGCACTTCTTCATGGAAGCTCTTCGTGGGACGCGTCTCCTCCGGGCGCCGTTCGGCCTCCTGCACGCACCTCCTGCACGCACCTCCTGCACGCACCTCCTGCACGCACCTTGTGCACCGCCACTGCCAAAGACAAAGATCCCCCGTATAGCCTCTAACAGACTGTCGGGGGCAAGTGCTGTTAGCGAGTAGCAGCACTTATCAAGGCCGGCACTGTGGCACACGGGGGGGTGGGTCACCACGATGCTTGTGCACACACCACACACACAGTCACACAAACACAGTCACACACCACACACAGTCACACACACAGTCACACACAGTCACACACACAGTCACACCACACACACCCCACACACAGTCACACACCACACACAGTCACACAAACACAGTCACACACCACACACAGTCACACACCACACACAGTCACACATCACACACCACACACAGTCACACACAGTCACACACCACACACAGTCACACACACACACCCCACACACAGTCACACACAGTCAGACACCACACAAACCCACCTTGGAATGACTTGTGCACGTGTACTGTAGCTGCTGCTGATGCTGCTACTGCAGCTGCTGCTGATGCTGCTGATGCTGCTGATGCTGCTACTGCTGCTGCTGCTACTGCTGCTGCTGGAGAGACGTCGCTGCACCTTCGAAAGAGGCTGCTGCAACTTGCTGAATCCGCTCCCTGTTGAGCTGCACTACTGCAAGTTCAAGTTCATGTATTAGGTGTAGCCCTGTGAGCCATTCGGCTCTTGAATCGGGTACAACCGCAACAAACAAAAACATGAACAAAAAACATCTTAAAGTGACTATGTGTGACTGAGTGCAAACAGAAAATTCAAGAAAAGACAGCAAAATATTGCAGACAAAAAATCACAGTTACACCAACTCTGTGTGCAAACATCCCAGCAGACAACAAATCGATTAACGAATGAAATCGGCTAACCCTATATATAGTATTGGTTCTTTCTGTTGTAAAGTCACGTAAATAGAAAAAAATTATAATAAAATATTGAAAAAATGGCGTGTTTTGCTTTTATTAT